CATAATTTCATATTGTTCGTACAACTATGACTGTATGTCTAACATATAAATGTTTCAACATATGTACATATACGTTAACACATATATATAACGATAAATTATCTTTATAAAATAAATATGAAACTGGTTATTTATTAATTGTTACATTAAACACATAATTAATAATATCATATTGTTCGTATAGCTTGGAACGATAGGTATATACAACGATATATACTTCAAATATTCAGTATGATCTAGTCATAAATGTATTTATGATTACGATCATTTGTACCGGGAGGATCGCACCCGTGACTGTCGGTGTGCTAAACCGAACCAACATAAATATTATAAATGTTTCTGTCTGTATGTCTGTCTGTCTGTCTGTCTCGCTTTCACGCCAAAACTATATACGTTAACACATATATATAACGATAAAAAATTATCAAGGTTATATAAAATTATTATAATAATGGCTTAACTAAAAAATTAGATATTTTGGAAAGTCTACTTTATAATTGTGTTATATTTTCAAAAATTTTTAATTTCTGAATTACACCAGTATTGTACTAGATATGCGACTTATTAACGCTTATTCATAAATAAACATATATGTCATTTGTTAATGCTGCGCGTTGCGCGCGCATCTGATTATTGTCAATCCGTTGTCTCCTTATGAATTTAAATGAATAAACGTTTGCTCTGCAATTTTATTTTATAAATACATAAATATAATCCTGGTACAGCCTATAACTGATGACCCTGCTCTTGGACAAGAGCGTAAGAATATATTATTAATATTTTTGAAGAATAAAACAACATATAATATTAAAAATGTTGTCAATACATATGAACAACATTTCCTTGGAAGTAACAACATCTACCGTTCCATCCGAGCTATTCAGGTTCGGAATACGCGTTTCTCCATTCTGGCCAGTAGAGTCAGAGATATGGTTCGAGCAAGTGAGAGATAGTATATACAATTTAGAATATCACATATATATTGGCCAACTGGACCACCAATTTTCAAAAGAATTTAAAGAAATGTTTAAACTGTTTATTAAATATAAATAAATATGACATTTAAATTTGTAAATATCACATTGTCACCATTCAAGGGGTAAAATAAAATAGCAGATAAAAGTTTTTATGGAAATTCGTCATATTTGAAGCTAGAACGATAAATGTATTTAATAAATACCTTACTAATATTATGAAAGTGAAAGTGACTCTGTCTGTCTGTCTTAAAAGCCAAAACTTCAACTGATTTAAATGAAATTTAAAGTCTAGATCTTGAGATAGGACATAGGTTGCTAAAAAGGTTTATAAGAGACTGAAAGAGGAATATTTTAAAAGTTTAAGCTTCAATCTTATTTTTTTGCGTATTGATTAAATATAATTAACGAAAATGGGTTGTAAGGGTCAAAAGGGGAGTTAAAATGTTGTATGCATGTATTGTCATTTTTTAAAGCTAGAAACTTGAAACCCATTTTTTAGGCTGTTGAGAAAATATCAGTACCTACCGCCACAGGACTCAGCCATAAATGGTTACAGTATAGCGACATCTTATCATTGGTACATGATGACACTAATATAAGTAACATTAAAAAAAACAAGAAAAAGGGTTATAAGGGGTTGAAAGGGGAGATGTAATGTATGTATGGTATGTATGGAAGTATCTTCATTTTAAAGATAGTAGTTTGAAACTTAGTTTTCGGCTGTTGATTGAATTGTATGGAATTATGTATGGAAATTTCATTTTTGAAGCTAGAACGATGAAACGTTTTTTATTGGGTTAGATTATTAATATATATTTTTTATTATTTGCTCAAGGTCACTATTTTACGCGGACGAAGTCGCGGGTACAGCTAGTTATTTTATAAAGCCAAACTTTAGATTGCGCTAAACTCAGGAACTATTGGTTCCAATCGAAAAAATCTTTTGTTATTGGAAAGTCCATTTATCGAGAAAAGCTATAGGCGATATACATCACGCTGTGACCAATAGAAGCGGCAGTAATGAAAAATGTTGCAAAACGAGAAAAGTGTGTGGAACAACAAGTTGCGCAAGTCATCTGGTATGACATAAAGGTAAGGTATTGTTGTAATTTAAAATACAAATAATATAGACCTACCATCGTTTTCTACTGAATAAAGTATATATTAACGAAATTGCTTTTATAAATTAAAATACACAACTAAATACCTGTAATGATGTGAGAACATCTATAATTAGATTTTGAAGTCAATTCAATTCCGGTCATTACTACAACATAATTATTCGATTTGTCTCGTGATTTAATAGTGATTACAGATTGACAGTAACGTGTATATTGAATTTCATACATACAATTAATGGTTTTTTTATTTCTATGTTTAATTTTTTATCACTATGTATATGCATAGAATAGTAAATATTGTTGGTTTTGATTTCGTTACAGACAAAGACACTACCGTTAGTAACTGAAGTAATTTAAGTTAAGTCATTCGGGAGATGGCCGTGTGATCATTCCCTATCATGTTGTTTTGAATCCGAAATATAATTTAAATACTTAACATTAATTTACAACATGTTAATATATATATTTTAAATTTTATTCCATCTGTTAACTTTTTTGTATTAAAAACTAGGTAAAATAAATATATTTTCCTAAGCTAAGCATGTTAGTGACCTTATAACCCATTGGGATTAGAAAATTTCATTGGCATTCCTATAATTAAAAATATTAGGCGGATAAAGCGGTTAATAGCTAGTAAGCATATGTACGTACCTTCAACGTGATTACAAAATGTTATAAAACTCCTTAAACTGTTGTACGTACCTTCAACTTTGCATGAAAAAAATAAAATGCTAGAGGAACATTTTTATAGTTTTATTTACTTATGCATTTGTGTTAAGTAGTTAACAGTGCACTAAAAGACAACAAAAAAAACAAGATTAACCGGTGACTGAACCTTTCACAGCTAAAACTTTTAAATTAAAGTCTTGCGACAGACTTCATATGACAGTACGAGTTCATCTCAACACTAATACTGGCCAAACAGCCAAACTTTTTGAGTATGACGAATTTTCCAAATGAAAAATGTCCACAGAGACGAAATAGAATTATATTAACTACTTAGCAGATACTTTGTTTATACATTTATAGCCAAAACAACAATATCATAAATAGTTATATTATTCAGGTGCATAGCTTGTTTATTGCAACTCTGCATTGATAGTGAGACGACATATTTCTCTTTAACCACTGCTTTTACTCAACATTGTCTATGACTTTGTCAACTTTGAAATTTTCTTAAAGATATAACGCAGTTTGTGTCTTCACAATGTACTGTTGTAAACTTTATTCATAGTTGTATGTATTTTATAAACAGGATATTTTATAACAGCGTCGAATTATCCGGAGCTCATAAATATGATCATGGTTAATGTCTTTTAATTTACTTTTCGGAAGTATTCGTTCTTTATTCTTCATTATACATATATAGTTATCGTATAAAGTTATCGTTTCTGCGACTATAAAATTTGTATTTTCATGATAGAGTTTAGTATATACTTATATAATTTAATTTATTTTTATTTTGTGATAATACATGTATATATCTATATAATATGTTAAAATAGAATTTATTCCACTATCGTGAACTAAATATTTATTTATTTATCAAAGATTCATGTTCTCTATGTAGGTAGTAAAATGTTAATGGTATTACCTGTAAAGGTATCTTATGGTGTACCTACACTTTAAGATGTAGGTTGATAGTAACAAACATAAGTCAAGAGGACAGTCGACAATTTCAATATAAAAGTATAGATAGAATATCTGTAGAATTGGCGATGTAGAAATCACAAACATGCTCTACTTTTTACGCATCTATGTTTACTGTTTCATAAAAATCGCAACTGAAGTGTTTTGTATCTACAAATATACACAATATATCTTACCAGATAAAGGAAACATTATAAGTAGTTAGGTATATAGCTATATATTCTAAGAAAGGAGTCAGCTTATTTTAGTATTTAGTAGGTATATCTTTATATATAATATTACAAAAATTCCAGCTGCAGAGCAGCATGCTTTGTAAACACATGGTACAACCGAAACACATGAGAGTTATCTTAGTCTTCCAGAATAGCAGTTGTATTATAGGTGTCTTATGATTACGTGATGTCGTGTTATTGAATTGATTTGTATAAATTAAATATTTGCTTAACTGTCTTATTTATACAAATCAATTTAATAAGCTTATATTTGTAAATACAAATTATGTAAGTATATGTTTGCATATTCTTCAATATTAGACACTTTTTCATTCGGATAGTAATTTGTATTTTATTCTCAATATAATTATTTACTCAATATAATACAATTACCATGTACAATATTCTGAATACATCATTTATCTGTAATTAATTCATATTAAGATTGGATTTGGAAATAAACGAAGGCTAATACGTAGCGCGTAGCTGCTACGAAGCTACGAGCGTAATCTAACACCTGTATATTACAAATAAATTAAAACCACTGCTATCTGGCTAATGCTTATAATAAACTACGAATTCAACATGAGACTGTTCAAATTGTATAGTGACGACATAAATCGTATCAATAAAAAAGTAGGTGAAGTTTACCTATTTATTCGGATTACGAAATCGATATTAATTTTATATTCTTTTATATCGACAATGAAACTTTGATTCGTAATTTTTAAGGAGTTAACGTGAATTGTTTATATAATTATCGATGAAACGTAGAGTCAGTTTCGAAGACGTGCTACGTGTTCGTAGCATATGGCGTAGAAACATCTATACGTCTAATGACATCTAGATACGTCCTTAAACTTGTCAAGTGTATCAGCACGGTAGAGTGGGCAAGTGCAGGCCCAGTCCCCGTGACCTACATCCGACGACCCTCGCTCGGGAAGCTGCTAATTTCCACCATCGCGGCCTGTAGCGACGTCACAGCGGGGGCCGGGAGGGCCTCGTCGGCTCGCTGGCTGTACGCTCAGTCCACCGCCCCACTCCGATCTACTAGTACGCGTCAGTCGCGACTCAACAGCGGATCAACACGCCGCCCCGCGAACAAATTCACGACCTCAGTAACGCCGCCTGATTAATTTTTTAATGTGCAGACCCGTATTTTTGTAGTGCGAAAACGGTGAAAGTATTTTTTTATTTGCAAACTGTGATAGCGAGTCAGGCGGATAGAGGTTTGGGTGGGGCGCGTTCCGCTGACACAGTGGCTCAGTCAGCCGCCGGTCGCCGAGTGGCAAGTACCATTGATTGTCTCCACACCACCGTACGCCAGGTACGTAACTATCACGTGCTTGTATTTTCACCGCGGCTATTTCCACGCGCGTATTTCAGACGATCTGCTTAGCGTTCAAGGCCGAGTGTGTTTGCGTTCGGATTTACGTTACGAACGTACGTTCATGTTTTGATTGTTTCTATATAGTATAAATTGTATTAATCCATTATCATATGGTCTTTGAGATGAAAATTAATGAGTTTCACGCGCTGCAGTTCCGGTGCGTGCCTTGTAATATAATATGTAATACGATAACAGAGTTGAACATCCAAGGTTGTTATTTACCTGACATTGCCATATGATGAATTTCTAAATGAAATAATAAAATAAGTATGTCGAAGTGCAAATAAAAATTATGGCTTATATTTAAGTATCTATTTGACATACTAAACACTTAGATTAAATAAAGTTAATAGAACTTTTGTAGTATTTTACGTTAATTCTATATAAGAAGAGACCAAAAATATTTAGGATCTAACTTAAACTAAAAACATAATTTCGGTAAAAAGTAACTACTTTTTAAATAAAGTCTATTCCACTATAAACAATTAAATATTTGGGAGACAATCAATATTTGGGTTAATATTTCAAATACAGGAATTCTCAAAAAAATAAATACATTTAACATTCACTTCATAAATGCTATATTAAAAGAATGAATAAAAATATATGTTGTTATTGCTCTCTATCCCTTGCCAGTTCTTTTTAATTTCAGTAGCCAGCCGAACTAGATGGTAGGAATAGTATTAAAAAAATCTGAAGTGCATTAAAAGGTTCTTTATCAGTAAATGGTTTTGACTTTATTATTAAAATCTTTTTTTAAGTAATTTATTCTATATTTTGATATATCTACATCAATATATTTGTTGGCCAGATGTACTATATGATTACTAATGATCATGACCTACAACTCTACGCACTAAATCAATGTGGGATAAACTTTTTGGCAACAGTAATGGCTTACCTACATTCATTCATATCGTTCTACTTATTGAATAGGCACTTGTTTATTAAATAAACATAATCTACAAATTTGAGAAATTTCATTATATTTGCATATTATTTATAGCTTATAATTATTACCTTCATTTTCGTGACTGAAAAAAAAATAAAATTAATGTAACACTAACCACAGCCTTTTATAGATATTATGAAGTAAAAAATTATGTAAAATTAAGAAAGTTCATAATAAATAATCTTTAACATACACGCAGTAGACAAATACACAGATGTACGTAATAGATACGGACAAGCTCGTATATACAATATAAAATATATCGAGCGGGCATCGAATCCGCACTATCAGAGAGTGAAGCAGTCTCTTAAACTGCTACACCGCTAAGGTCAATGTAATTAAGAATATTAACAAACATCTAATTTCGCTTAATCACGATAAATAGAGTGAAACATGGAATCAAATAGAACGGATAGAAATACGATGACAAACCGAAGGCAGCCAAGGAAGACGAACGAAATAAAATGTTTGTTCAAGATGCTGAAATACAAATTATTTATTTCATGGCTGGTTGCATTAGTATTGAATTAATAACAGAAAATAAATACAAGATTTCGATGAACATAAGAATATATATTGTAGAATGAATAGGTATATTAAGTAAGTACGCAGTAATTATACAAATAGGTTTGAAACGAAAATATAACAATTCTTTTATATAAACTATTTACAAGATGACCCAAATTCCACGTACATAAAACTTAATAAATTCATATTTAATTATATATATTATACATAATCTGTTACCATCTGATGTTTGTCTATTTGTCTATATCCTCTATATATAGACGAATAGATATACAACATCTATACATATAAATAAATAATCGTTTTTTACTACATGCATATGAATATAAGTATACTGTTTATCTGTAACATCTGAAATAATTTTGATGAGACTTTTTTTGTTTTTTACTATACTTTTATTTTAGAAAAATAAAATTAAGTTCCCACGGACGTCGCGGGAACAGCTTGTATTATAATAAAATCATAAAACCTGCAAGTTTAGAATTATACTTTTTTTCGAAAATAGAATTCTAAATAATAAGCTACAATGTATAAAACAACCTTTTTTAGCATTGATGTCTTATTTTTACATCATGACGACAGCATTCCAACTTGGACAAAATGGGTGTATGCTTTATCAGCATCGATGAACAAAATCATGTGATACAGTTTGACCTCTCCATTGTACGAGGTCACATAGAATATCTATAGAGGTCTTTGTTACTTAGACATTGAAAATGCCTAATGAAGACAAAATAAAAAATCTAGCTGTAATGTGAATGCATAGCTTAATAGGAGTATATTTTGCTTAGAGTCAGGTCCTTGTGTAAACTAAGTAATTACGTAAATGACGTTGAAAATTGACACTGAATACTTCCTGGCGGAAAAGGCTACGGAAAACAGCAAAAAAATTTCTGATAAAATGTCACTGGTTTCTGATAAGTCGACTTCAAAAGAGAAGGTTCTCGAACTTTCAGTGTATATAACAAGCGATATTTATGCGGATTTTTTTACTTCACATAACTCGTCTTATGCTAATACTACCTGTTTGCATCAACTTTGTCCGCACTTTTATCTCTCGTTCCCATGAAATTTTCAGGAAATCTTTCCTTAGCGGATATCTAAGTTCTAAACTTAAAATAGATTTAACCGTTTTATAGTGCAAAAACTCCCAGGCCAATCCATATAGAAATATGTTATTTTATAGGGAAACCAAACCCATATTTTTTTACTTAAAATAGCAACACACAAGTTTTTTTCTTATTCTTCTTGTGATGAATCTACATTCCGAATAAGCGGTAGAATCAAAAAACTTGACTATTCAAAAGTGATTATATTAAGTTTATTTGAATAAAGATTATTTCTATTTCTATTTCATAACCATCGGCAGTAGAAGCCGTAGGTAACACCTCAAAATCCCCTATTGCTATCAATGTACCATCAGATCGATCTCCACGCGCCTCCAGGAAACCATCGTGTTTAATTACTGGTTATTTCACCGCTATGGGTCTGGTCTGTATCTTTCACTGGTCGTCTTCTAGCGTATACCGTTATCGCAGGTGGTGGTACCGTTTCATTATCATCTATTAAAATAAGACCTCTGTATTACCAAGGTCATTATTCCATAATGCATTAGTTCGATAAAATATGCCTCATGGCAATATCGAATATAAAGAAGTACCTATTTCTTTTTTATTATATCAATAAATCGCTTATTGATTTGTTATCGCTTTATTGTATTTTTTTGATTAGCAACCATGTGTAGATCGGTTTGCTCCAGAACATTTTCATGTTTATTTGATACTGTACCCACGTCTTAACCTGGTTTGTCTTGAGATAAATTATAGTCTAAATCCGTCCTTGAGATATAATCCGTCTCTATTTATATATATCTTTATTATTCTTTAACTGTTTTGTCGAGAAAATAGCAGTCACGCATATAGACAATTTTGCATTTATAATATTAGTATATATTCTAATGAATGTCCTTCAATTGGCAGTAATATTCTACGTACTTAACAATGTGTTGTAATTGGAATTGTTAGATTTTGTTATCTTTCTTGCATTTTTAAACACGTTGAAGACACGTTGAAATTATCGAAATTGGATACATAAACCTTCATAATAATTTTAGTAATTCCTATAATGGATATATATATATACATATACACTATGAAAACCCTGCATGGCTGCATCTCTCGGCTTTGTCATGAATTAGGATAAATAAATAATGCAGACCAGGATATGATCCGTATACCAACCACTTAAATCAATTGAGTCATTTAAGCTTGGTTGAGTCACAAATATCCAATCGTTTAAACTAACACCATTACAAATTTTTATATTACTCGGATAAAACCTTATAGATATTATCAAAAGTAAAAATAATAATTACGAAACGATAGCCTAATGTAAAGAGACACAGAATTCATATAATCTTACGTAATTTTCGCGACAACACAAAACGTATCAAAGCTAACCTTTGTTAGCCTTGTTGTACACAACATAAACACCTGAAAATCAACCGACTATTACTTGTATTGGTGTCAAGGCGATGCTGTGATTCGTGACGTCACGAGTCATCTGGCATCATCGGACCGATGGCATCGCCAAAACATCAACAAAAAGTCGTGTCGAGTTGTTGACGAGACGATTTGGGTTAGATCTACAGACATGCTACAGACAGTCAGACTGACATCAAATAAATCAACGGGACCGATTTACTCTGTGTCCTCAACTTGCTATACCTATTTCTCATTATATATATATAACTATATATGTATTATGAGAAGCAAAAACATTGTACCCCTTTTTACGAAAACTGCACGAACGTAGGAGTATGAAATTTTGCAAACTTTATACAGAGAATTAATGCTGAATTCTATTTATTTTTTTAATTATGTTTGAAATTCTTTAAACCAATCAATAAAGCATTACACATATTATCAGGTATTTAACACACATAACATTTATAATTTAAATTATACTCATTAAATCATTATCCAAATTCACTATCAATGTATAATTTGAAACATAACTTTATTTTACAATATAGGCATCACTTAAGAAAGTTTAAAAAATATTTTAAGCAATAAGCTGTAATAACAAAATATTTATCAATTTAAGTTTAAAGTGAAATGAGACAAGTCTCTATCATCTCTTGGTACGATACTTAAGTAAAAGTAGAGTGAGGAAGATATTTTCCTATATCTAACGATATATCAGATTCCTTATCTTTACCTGTACGTCCATCGATGTTATATCTTATCTCATGCTTATCTATATTTAGCTCTTTCATTTTAAGATTATCTAATAAGAACAAATCTCGATTTTATAATATTGTTTCTGAACTCTACTTTTTATAGATAACAGCATATAAAAGTAAAAAAATACTGTAACTATATAATACGCTAACAAATGCTAGCATGCAAATAATCATAGCCTGTCTATGCATGTTTAAAGTCAACGTCAAACAAAA